TGGCTAGTATTGATGCTTTCTCATGTCCTACTTGTTTAAACTAAGTTTACAAAGAACTGTAAAGAAAGATAAGTGGTTTTAAGTTAGGTTGTTTTATAAAACAGTCATTTTTTAGATATGATTTGTTGTCAGAAGTATTTAAGATAACTACAGAATTTATCTTTTAAATACAGAGGAGAGAGACTTACAGACTTCTTGAATATTACTGTTCTAGTGTTCAAGTGATATTGTTTATAATCTTACATACTTCAGAATAGGGTCAGGAAATATTTTCTGTGAAGTCAGATTAGAAAATATTTTAAACTTTGTAGGCCTCAAATGGTCTCTGTCAAATGTTCTTTGTGGGCTTTTGGCTTTGCTTTTTTTCCCCCCTTTAAAAATGTAAGAAACATACAGAAATAGGCCACAGGACAAATTTTGGTCCTCAGGCTATAGTTTGTTGGCCCCTGTTCCAAATCAGTACTGTCCAATAGATATATAAAGCAAAACGTATATGTAATATAAAATATTTTAGAGTTCACATTTAAAAAATGAAAAAGAAGCAGATGAAATTAATTTCAATAATATACTAAACCAATTTTATCCAAGCTATCATATCAGTATGTGGCACTAGCCACATTTCAAGAGCTCAGTACCCACCTGTATTGGACAGCATGGCTCTCAACCAGTGACACAAATGCAGGCCTCAAACTGTTCAAAAACTGCAGTTGTTTCCAGTCTTTGACAAGTACAGAACTCAAAAATAAACATTTAAAATATTTGATAGCAATTTGGAAGTTATTTTATGTCTCTTTATTCTAATAAGAAAATTGGCATTTGTGTGTTTCATTTCATTTTCTAGTAATTTATTTTAATTTATCAGTCTGTGAAATTAAAAAGAATTGGTTTTCCATTTCTTCATTGTGGATAACTTAAGAAGCATTGCTCTCTATATTTCTCTCTTGAGAGCCTTTTATATACATGACAACAATAAAAAGAAATGGTGATAAGTCTGTGGTAGTTTCATTGTACTGTTCACCTCCCACCTGGCATTGCTGAACCTGTGTCCTTTCACTGTCCTTCAGAGCTACTGTTCAGACCTGGCCCAGTGGTTTTCTTGTTTTACTCTGGAAATACATAGTGTCCAGGCCCAACTCCAGGCCAATTAAATTCGAATCTGTTTGAAGGGAGCCCATACATCATGTAGTTTAAAAAGGTGCGTATAGTTTGCAACCAACATTGTTATGTGGATCCCTTATCCCAGGGAATTTTTTTGATTCTCCAGTTCTCTCACTGATTTGGATGGGGTATTTTCTGTGTAGTACCATTTGTTCTCTTTAAAACTGAAAAAGGGAACTATCCAGTTACATATATCAGAATAATCATTGGCCATTTATCTTTATTCCTTCCTGGAACCTCATTGAATTTAAAGGAATTTGAAAAGTATGAAGCCTAACACCACAAATAGAAAAATCAAAGGAGAGAGTTGTAGGAGAGATGGGTCAATGCACTTTTGGTAGAAGTGGGCAGCTAGAAACTAGCAGAACTAATTAACTGTGCCTAAAATAGAGGATGTTCAGAAGAAGCAAACCAGTTTATACTGGTGACCCAGAAATTAGAGTAACCAGTTACCTTGGAAAATAAGGATGGAACATAGAGTTAGAAAAGAAAGGTTGAAGGTCTGTGTGTCTCAGACTCCCATGTGTCTTTCTTACTTATGCGCAGCTTGAAGACAGTTTGTTCACAGTGGATAAAACTATAGAGGTTAGAGCTTAAAGAAATTTAATCTAAAGAAATTTAATCATAGCTGATGTTGGGATATCTTTTGAAAAATAAGGATACCTTTTGAAAAATAGGGACTAAGCAAAAGACTGATGATTGAGGTTAAGACTCTACCCAGTATTCCCCTGTTCTCAAAACAGCAGTTATATATGCTTCAGACAGGCAATGGGGGCATTTTTCTCTTGGATAATTCCCCAGCCAGGAAATGAGGCTTACAGACACTGGCTTTAAGGGACTCCTTAATGAAAACCAGTCAGTGCCTCATTACTGTGTAGTAAAACTAACCAGTTGACTAGCACGCATACCCTACCCCACCCCACACAGACATCTTCTGATCAGCACATTAGTGCTTATATACCACCAGGGATTGTCAGACACTGGATGAAATCAACTAGAAACAAAGCTAAAGAGAGAAAAGGTACTGAGAAGAAATAGGTACAAAAAACCCCCAACAATTTAAATTAAATGTTACAATAAGGAAGAATTTATTTTGAAAATTTGTATCCCAGGGATATCCGCCACCTCCGAGCAGCTGGAATAGGATGATTTTAAAAAGAACATTTAGAGAGCAAGAAAATGATCTTGGGAATTAAAACTGTAATAGAAAAGTTATAAATGCAATAGAAGTGTTAGAAAGTGATACCAAAGATATCTGTGAGAAAGTAGAAAATAAAAGGAGTGGAATGTTGAAGAGAAAATATATAATAACAATAGGATTCTAAGATACCTAGTGTCTAATGAAAAGACTTCTCAGGAGGGAGAAAAGAGGCAATAGGAAGGTTGTTGAAAAGACCCCCCTGTATGATGTATGGTAAAGAAAAAAACACACACACTAAAGATAAAGAAAAGAAGCTACAAAGACTGGGAATTGGTGTCTTTGGATATTTTAACAGTTACACTAAAAGCTCCTGGAGTGTTGGCATAATACCCCCCCTCAAAATTCTGAGGGTAAATTTTTTCTGTCTTAGAAATTTTATTGAGCAATAGCAATATGGATTTGTTGTCTAGAGAAATGACGAGGAGAGTAACAAAGAATCAGCTTTTAAAAAGATTTTAGTCATTTTTGGCTCTCCCTGGTGGTGCATTGGGTTAAGTCACTGCATTATGAAGTCTCTGAAGCCACTGCAGCACAAGTTTGATCCTCAGCCAGGGAGCTGGCCCACCTGTTGTGGCAGACCTCCTGACCGCCTGCTGCTTCTCTGGGCAGTGTACTTTCAGTCTGTCTGTTCTGCTCCCCACTCTGTTTCTGGTGAATCCTCTCACCACCCCTGCACCTCTGGTCTATACCCCAGTTCTGTAAGCATAAATAAGTAAATCTTAAATAAAAAAAAAAAAAGGTTTTAGTAATTTTTCTCAGAAAGAGGAAATCAAGGATAGGAATGTTGTTTTACATAGCATTTAATCTTTGAAACTTTAAATATATGAATTTATACTTTAAAGATATGAATTAGGTAAATTAAAAAGGCAACTTCAAAATAAAGAAATAGGAAGGAAACTAGACCAGAGAAAGCTGTAGGATTTTGTAGGAGTACCTCCACAAAGATTTTGGCATCACCAAGAATGTAGTGAGAATTAGACTGTAAATAAAAGGAATATGAGCGAAAACCAGAAACCTTCATGTAAAATTAAGAGTGAGTATTAGCAAGATGCAGTAAGTTCAGTTAGTGTAAACCTTTTTTAAAAAAGGCTTATACAAAACAGATTTTTACAAGGAGTGGGGGGAATAGGCATAATGTTGATAGTTTAATAGGATTTAACAGTTTCATCTGATGAATTTTATTAGAACACTTACCAACTGCCATGCAAATTTCTATGTTCTGAACAATCTGCTTTTAATAAAGAATAATCTGAAAGTACATTTCATGATTTCATAAATTCTCTATGTTGGCATTGTCATTATTCCAAGAGCTTTGTTAATCCCAAAGCCCTTTGTGTAAGAAACTATCCAGAAGATACATAATTCACTTAAAGAAAGATTATTCTTTATTGTTTCTTAACCCCAGTCCACTTCTTGAAATTGCATGTATTTATGACAAAGAAGAGGAGTAAACTCTGTGGATGGAGCAACTGTAAAGACTTTTACCACTGTAAGAAAACTCAAATAGTTTTCCAGTATTGAAAGCTAAGCTGTGAAGAATAATTTGGAGTGAGATAATAAACAGGAACAAAATATTCTGGGGGGAAAAAGACAGTACTTATTAAATGGCAACATTGAAAAAGAGACCTTTTTTTGAAGTTTTCTACAATCATATTGTAACAAACTAGTAGAATCTTGAGTTTAGGTTTTTCTGTTTCTTCTATTGTTGACTTAATGAGACATGAGACAGCATGCCTGGTGATGTTGTAATCTTAAAATAATCTCCTTGTTGATTTCCATAAACTATCTTAGACAAATTTATTTTAAGGAGCAAGAATAAAGATGCCAACTAAGTTTTTTTGGTTTCGTTAATTACAGCAGTACCAGATCTTTATTACTCAGTCATATCCAAACTCTTCCAGGATTAAGAATTGAGATGTTTAAAGACACTTCACCATTTAAACCCAAATATTATTTTTTTTCCTCCCTATTTTCCTTTCTTTTCAAACTGCTTCTTCAGTCATAGATAAAAGTTGATACATTAGGGCTAAAAGGGAAAATACAGAAGTATACAAAATATACAAGTATTTGGCTTAATAAGCTTTGATACCAAGATGAAGAAGGTACTGATTGGCAATCAAAATTTGGAAGATTACTACTTCAATCTTTCTAAATTAATCTTAATATGTTACACAACTGTGATCCTGATTATAAGTTTTAGGAAGTTGAAAATAGAACAGTACTTTCAATCTTTCAGTGATACATTTCAGCACTGTTTTCCCCTTGTAATATTGAGGCAGTAATCAGATTATCTGAAGTAAAAAGACAACCAACATCAATGTGATTATGAAATTAGGTGGATGCATGGGGAAATGAAACCAAGGTTTTTCTGAGCGGGTTTGTTTCCTTCCCCAAATTTCTTTTGTATATTCATCTGGAAGGAAATGAGGACCCGCTTGGAATAATGGTGCCAGCACCACTAGCGGGTTTGGTGACCTTATGACAGACATGTGTCATCACTGTAGCAAGTGGGGCAGTGTAAGGTGAATTCTTACCCAGTGTCATTTCAACAGCCAACAAGACAGGGAGTCAGTACTGCCATTTCTGTGTTCACATACCACTTTGGTTAACTTACTTTTCTTCTTTTCCTATTCTGTTTTAGATCTTATAACCAATGGATAAAGTGGGGAAAATGTGGAATAACTTCAAGTACAGGTGTCAAAATCTCTTCAGTCATGAGGGAGGAAGCCGTAATGAAAATGTGGACATGAACTCCAACAGATGTTCATCTATGAAAGAGAAAAATATCAGTGTAGGAGACTCAACTCCTCAGCAACAAAGCAGTCCCTTAAGAGAAAATGTTGCCTTACAACTAGGATTAAGCCCTTCAAAGAATTCTTCAAGGAGAAACCAAAACTGTGCCACTGAAATTCCTCAGATTGTTGAAATAAGCATTGAAAAGGATAATGATTCATGTGTCACCCCAGGAGCAAGACTTGCAAGAAGAGATTCCTACTCTCGACATGCCCCATGGGGTGGGAAGAAAAAACATTCCTGTTCTACAAAGACACAGAGTTCATTGGATAATGATAAAAAGTTTGGTAGAACGCGCAGTGGATTTCAGAGGAGAGAGAGGCGATACGGCGTCAGCTCTATGCATGACATGGATAGCGTTTCCAGCAGAACTGTAGGAAGTCGCTCTCTGAGACAGAGGTTGCAGGACACTGTGGGCTTGTGTTTTCCTATGAGAACTTACAATAAGCAGTCCAAGCCCCTATTTTCAAATAAAAGAAAAATACACCTTTCTGAATTAATGCTAGAGAAATGCCCTTTTCCTGCTGGCTCTGATTTAGCCCAAAAATGGCATTTGATTAAACAACATACAGCACCTGTGAGTCCACATTCAACGTTTTTTGATACATTTGATCCATCCTTGGTTTCTACGGAAGATGAAGAAGATAGGCTTAGAGAGAGAAGGCGGCTTAGTATTGAGGAAGGGGTTGACCCCCCTCCCAATGCACAAATACATACATTTGAAGCCACTGCACAGGTTAATCCATTATATAAACTGGGACCAAAGTTAGCTCCTGGAATGACTGAAATAAGTGGGGACAATTGTGCAATTCCTCAAACTAATTGTGACTCAGAAGAGGACACAACCACCCTGTGTTTGCAGTCACGTAGGCAGAAGCAACGTCAGGTATCTGGAGACAGCCATGCCCATGTGAGTAGACAGGGAGCTTGGAAAGTCCATACACAGATTGATTATATACACTGCCTCGTGCCCGATTTGCTTCAGATTACAGGTAATCCCTGTTACTGGGGAGTGATGGACCGTTACGAAGCAGAAGCCCTTCTTGATGGAAAACCTGAAGGCACATTTTTGCTCAGGGACTCTGCGCAGGAGGACTACCTCTTCTCCGTGAGCTTCCGTCGCTACAACAGATCCCTGCATGCCCGAATTGAACAGTGGAACCACAACTTTAGTTTTGATGCTCATGACCCATGTGTATTTCACTCCTCCACTGTAACAGGACTTTTGGAACATTATAAAGACCCCAGTTCTTGCATGTTTTTTGAACCATTGCTTACTATATCACTAAATAGGACTTTCCCTTTTAGCCTGCAATATATCTGCCGTGCAGTGATCTGCAGATGCACTACATATGACGGGATTGATGGGCTCCCTTTGCCATCAATGTTACAGGATTTTTTAAAAGAATATCATTATAAACAAAAAGTCAGAGTCCGCTGGTTAGAACGAGAACCAGTCAAGGCAAAGTAAATTGTCCTGTCCCACAAGGGCATTAACTAGGTCTGCTTTTATGTGCATCAGACAGTACACATATAGCAAGCACACATATCAGTGTTAGGATTTTTTCAGTACAGTATGTAAGCATAGTGTCAGTATCTGTCAGTTGCCAGATGTGATCCGCTGTTACTCAGATCAACGTGGTGCCTATTGAGACAACAGAGCTAGAACTGCAGGGATTCAGTAAGGCTACAAAAACATTTTTGCCAATTTAACTGACAGTTTGGTTTTTCGTGGCTGTAGTTATTAAGTGATGCAACTCTGGGGCATTTGTTACGAAGAATTCTATTTCTTACTAAAGAACAAATTATTAATATTGGATGAGTATTTCAACAGTGTGACTAATGTTTGAAATTATTATTTTTTCTAAGAATTTTTCTATAACCTTCCATACATAGTGATGTTTGTAGTTACGATAAAATTAAGCTTTTTTGAAAGTCCAAAAAATAAAGACTGCCTTCCTTTTAAAAAAAAATGCAATTTCCTGGCCATGGGCGTAGTGCAGTTCATGTAAGTGTTTGATAGAGTTTATCATCAGTCTCCTTTTCTCCTCTGCAAAAGGCACTGTTAAGCCAGATTTTCTAAAGTTTCAGACTTAAAAAATTGGTAGAATTTTATTTAAAGACCTTAACTTGGCTTTTGTCTTGTTTTTAATGAGTGCTTTAAGACGTTTGGAATAGCTGCTGTAGTGTAGTCCTGGGTGTGATTTTTTTTTTAAGTTAATATGTACAGTCCTAATTGTTGTCTCATTAAAGTTGGATCTTTTCCTATGCCCATGATAAATTTGTGAACCATGAAGAACATGAAGCTAGAAGATGCCCAAGCAAATCAGATAATAATAACTACAGTGGTTGCTGATGTTGAGATCGTTGTTAAACTGTTATGAATAATTTGGATGGCAGTATTTTATCTCTTTGTTGTAAACTCATAGCTGAATTGCTTAAGTACAATTTATAGAATTTCAGTGCAGTCAATTTTTAATGGAAAATTTGGAACTTAAATCGCAGATTTAAAAGGTACTGTATAACTGTTGTGTCTGTAAATAACTTAGCACCTTTTTTGTCACTTAGAATAGTATGCAATACTACTTGAGTGAACGGTTTTGGAAGTAATACCAAGTTCTAGTGTTTGCTTCTTAGTAATGAACTGAATTTACAGTTCTGTCCTAGACATTTTGCACTAAAGTAGTCGAATCCATCCATGCGTCTTTTGTTATGTGCTCTGTACCACTGGTGAGTGCTCCTTAGCTTCCTTACCTGCTGCTACAGAAAGTTATTTTACATCCCAATGGCTTTGCCAAATGCTACAAAGAGAAAAGCTATATTTGTATGCAACACTAACCCTTTGACTGCCAATGTGTGTTTCTGCTTGCTGTGCCTTGTTATGGCTGCTTTTTTGTGCTAATAAAGTATGTTTGGTGTTCTCCTTGTATATCTACTGTTTTATACATTTGCAACAATTTCTCCTGTAAATGGAATGGTTTGGGGTTTTTTAAAAAGCATTACGTGACAACCTACTATAGTTAATGCAGAATTACTGTACAGTCTAATACTGACTTATTCCAAGTAAGCTGATTCTAAATTTAATGCTATACATCCCTTCCAAACATAATCACATATCCTATGGAACAGTATCTATAGTTACTGTAAATTACTGTACAGTTTAGATTATAACAGAAAAACGAACAAAGAAATATGACTAAACCTGTTGATTCTGTGCTTACAAAGTGAAAGATTGAAACTACCAATGATATGCAAATAAATATCTATAGACTCCTACTACATTAGAAACAGGTTAAATGAAGTCTTGTGAACTGCTAATACATCAGCATCATTTATTGGTTTGGGACCATTTTAATTAATAGTAAATGCCCAAAATGTAGAACTTGAACCAAAGACATGTCCATTTTAAAGCAAAATGGGGATAGAAGGGACTTACAATTCCTCTTGTTTCCAATACAAGTCCCTGAAAAACATTTATACCAAAGTGTTGAGAACTTCATCCAAACCTACTTTAAAGCATATGTGCAATTAAGTTGTTATGACGTAATTATTATATTGCGTAATTGTTGGGTCCGTTTTCTTGAACTTATAATGTACCTGGAAAATAAACCTCTTAGAAAATAATGGAAGTCCATATTGATTATTGGAGGACTATATATACAAGCAGCATCTTGTTTTATAAAGAGGTAACTTGAAACTCCAAGAAAGCACTTGATGTTTTATATGCTTGTAGCAAATTGATGTTCTAATTGTAGTTTTATAGAAAGTATTAATGCTTTTATGTACTTCAGAACTTTCATATGTTTAAATGGAAATTGTTTTAAATGTGTAAATATTTCAGTTTGTGTAAGCATGTATACACTGTGCTAAAAGTCACATGTTTCAGTTTGTGTGTAATATTAATATGCAACTTTTGGTTAAAATATTTCATAAATTAGTGGCTTACGTTTAAAAAAAAATCACCAGCATGAATTTGCACCTAAGTCTATTTTCACTATGTCTTTTTCCGGGTCCCCTTTGTAGCCTATCAACTTAATTTGTGAGTTCATCGTCTTTTTAAAGAGCATTTTAATATGATCCAGAAAATTCTTTGGTAGTTTGGACTAACACACATTCATTGAGAAAATCAAGGGAAGGTTGCACTGACTGTTACATTTATTCTTTCATGTTCTCTGTGTAAATGGTACATCAGGAAACATGCATGCGTGTATTTAATATTTCAAACAATAATCTTGCCATCTGATTTAAAATTATTTAGAATCTTTATGTGATCCTACTATTCAAATTTTATTATTTTTTTTTCAATTTTTATTTTTTAAAACATTTCAGAGGACATGTTTGTTGGGAGAAAGGAAGAAAGGCATCTGCACAGTCACAGGAGGGCAGGAGAGCTGCCTCAGGTTTGATTATCTACACCTAAGATCTAGTCTTGCTGCTGTAAACTTGTTTGTAATACTATCACCTTAAAAGAGAAAGCACTCAATATTTTCATTTGTCTATAAACAGTTAAAAAAATATTTGAAGCAGAAATAGCTTAGTTGAAATACAACCATTAAGAATCAATTAAGCTTATAAATATTTCTTAGATAAAAATTGAGTCCAAATAATCATACTCCATAAAATAATCTGTCTTCTTAATGCTCTGAAGATTTAAAGATTTTATAATTCTTAAATCATAAAATGTATTTCAGAACTCATCATTTTTACAAGATGTTCATGTCCAAACCTTTTTATTTAGCGTTTTGGTCCACTTTCTATTCACTTTCATCCTAAGGTTCCTTTAAACGCTGAAGAGTTTTATTGAGGTTGATGTTAGGCCTCTTTGTAGCACGGAAAATGATAAAGTTGCTTTTTTTACTAGAGGCAAAGAAGTTGTGATTGAGTCTGGACTGTCCTAGGACAGGCCTAGTGTTTGTCACAGCATGTGACACAGGGCACATCAGTTCATTCAGAAACAGAATAGAGGAATAGTTCGGTTCATTATTTCCAGTACTGACAACATAAATTTATAAATCGTTTATTTAAAATAGTTTGTTTAGCCATTTATTTCCTAATGGTAATATGGTTCAGAGGCTAAAATTGATTTCTAAAATTTGTCTACACTCAATTTTTCATCCTTCTAACGCATAATCTGAGAGACAGTATAGTTTATTTGCAAAGTGAACAAAATGAATTTGAAGACCTACATTTGATCTATAAACAGTTCTCTTGGAGGCTGTGTACCTAAAAGGCTCCTAGAGGGGAAGCTGCCAACAAAACTCCTGGCACAAGCAAACCAAATAGACCCTGACACAGCAGACAGAATAGTATGTGGCAGGTAAGCGTTACCGGAACTGCTTGTGTCTATACTCTGCAAATTGTCGTTGAGACCTGGCTTAGAGGGGTTAAGGAATATTGGGTGAAGTCACAGAGAATGATTGTCAGAGCTAACTTCAAACGGGTCTGGTACCAGAGCCTAAACTCTACCTGCTATATTTGGGGGATCCTAATTTTGACAGCCAAATTAATCTTCCAATACTTTGTCCTCATATATCATCTGAAGAGGATAATAGATTTCAAGCAACTGATAAAAAGTTTCTAAATTACTGATAATCCGTATTCTCCAGTTTGGCAGATGTAGGTGCCCCACCTACATCTCCAGTTTTGCTCTCTCCCTTGTCCACTGCTCCCCTAGTACACTGACCGCCTTTCAGTGGCTTCAGTGTTCCAGTCACTTTTCCACATTGGGGCCATTGCACATATTACTCCCACCCAAAACGTTCATCTTCCCATTCTCCCAAGCAAGGTGATTCTTTTTATTCTTTACTCCAGAGAAATATTATCATGTCATTCAAAGATTTCCCCCATATTTCCTACTCTGCCTCGTCTTTGTTTTCTTCATAGTCAAGGGCTATTACAAAAATGTGATGGGCAGGGGGAGTTGAGTCCCATTTAAGAAACTTTAAAAACAGAAACTACTTGTGTTCTATCTTACCCCCAGTAGCTAGCATACATAATACAAAAAACGTATTTGTCAAGTGAATGACCGAAAACCCTATCTGTTTATCACTTCTGTACTGACAAAAATATGAAAACTTCATTGCAAGTCATAAAATCTAAATTGTTCTACTTTTGTAATCTATTGTCCTATAGGAAAAAGGTAGGCTGACATGTTATTGGTGAACCTATGCTGCTTTCTGGAGATTACCACTTTCTGTGTTCTCACATGCTTGACTGCTAGTAATCCAGCCAAGAATGTTGCCAAGGGTCCTGTCAGATTCACTGGCCTGTGCTTTATGGAACCATCTACCCTTCCCCTTTTTACAGATAGGTATAGCTTCTCTCCCATCTTCTATCCTGCCTCCAGTTTTCCTCAACACCACTGTTGATTCAGCCTTCAGGTTTTCAGAAAAATGGCATTTGGAAAAATGGATATTTTGTAACTTATGGATGACTTAATACAAGAAGATTTAGTTCAAATGATTATGCTAAGGAAGCAGTTCTTTTATTTTTCTGAAGAACTCAAATTTATAACTAGCTTTTGTCAAACATAGCCTGTGCCTCAGATCAGCTCCCTATTAGCCAGTTTCTAACCCTCCTCAAAGTGGCTTCTTCATCCTCCACATCTACCTACCTCATTGTGGTATAGAAATGTTACAGTGAGTAAGTGTACCAGAGGACTCTCAGCACATAAAAAGTGTTCAGTAACTGTTCTGCTGTCTACCCATCATGCATGTTATTCAGTAGAAATGCAGAGCTGGAACTTAAGAGTTCTGATCAAAATGAGTCTCTTTCTCTGTTGAAGGTTTGACTAAAATGAGTCTCTCTTTTTCTCTGTTGAAGGTTTGCCTTTCGTTTGTGTACTGTTTTTGAAAGACAAGCTGTTGAAACATTAAAACCGAATATAAATCTATAAAACTTTTTACTCAGAAAATTACTAGATGATCATTCTAATCCAATTCTTATTTTCATGCTCATAAAATATCTTAGTTTTCCATAAAGAGAAAGAATTTCTCTTTGGACTGAGTAGGAGTTAGCGTGAATCGAGTTCATGCTTTACATCCTGACACAGCAGCCACCCCACGGGGCCTGGGGCAGGCTGTGATGTGACTTAGTGCCTGTCTGGCCACAGTATGCTACCTAGCCAACCTAGTGCCCCCAACTGGGCCGTTCTGCATGAAGGCCATATTCTCACTGCTGCCAAGACATTGGAAACCAGTGTGATCCCATTCATGAGTGAGATTTCTAGGAAAAATCCCTGGTATCCCTTTTCATCTAATTTCTGGATGGCGATATTGAACTTTCCAAAGAATTCTAGTAGTTGTTCCCTGACTTTCTGTGTAGTGAAATTATTTACCTGCTATTACTGTGTTAAGGCTTTTTTTCTCTCCACTCCCCATCTTTTGTGACCCCCTTGTCTCTTTACCTCCTACCCCTCTTTAAACTCAGAGCCCTTAGGGTGTTTGTTGATGTTGTTGAAAGTGTTTTGTGTTGTCAAATTGCCTGTTAATGAATGTCCAGTATTTATTTGTATCATTCTGACTTGTTTTGCTGCATATACTTTTTGGCAGATTCCCTCCATTTTGTTGAAAATGGCTACGTTCACCCTTTCTGTGGCTGTGTGTTGTCACATGTAAGTAGCACACTTTTTTTTTTTTTTTTTTTTTGTGCATACAGAACTGGGGTACAGGCCAAAAACTCGGGGGTGGCGAAAGACTTCACCAGAGACAGAGTGGGGAGCAGAACAGGCAGATCGACGAAGTACACTGCTGAGGGGAGCAGCAGGCGGGTCAGGAGAGGTCTGCCAGCCATGTGGTCACCTCCGGGGCAGGCGGGGATCGAACTCATGCGGAAGTGACTTTAGCTTCTTAGTGCTGTGCTTTAACCCGCTGCGCCACCAGGGAGGGCCACACCTTTTTGATTCATTTGTCCATTGAGGGAGATTTCGGCTGCTCCCATGTCCTAGCTCTTGCAAATAACTAATTTTCTATTTTTATCTCCTCCCCATATTGTATAGGAAACCAGTTCTTGCTTTGGCTTCCTTCAGGGCAAAGACTTATGTACTTTCTGAACTGTATCCCAGTACCAGCCCACTGTTTGGTTCTTGGGCAGACACTCAGTGAAAATTTGTTGAATGAATCCATTTTCAAAAACAATTTAAAGATCTATATATTTAAAAGGCATAAACATGATCTTTGCCCTACACCTGAAAAATCTTTAATTTGAAAGAATTAAAGGAAAAGGTAGCATATTGTAACTCATTTTACCTTGCCTATATCAAAAACTTAAGAAGACATTGTCATTTATTCCAACCCTGTAACTCCATTCACAACTGTCTAATATTTAAAAATCACTTTGTTCATTTGAAATTCAGCCTCAACCTTTTTAGTCCTTATTGCTACAAAAAGACTATTGTAATTCACCTGATTCTAGAGCTGCTAAAGATTTAGAAAATGTCAGTTTTTCTTGGAAGTTGAAGCACCTACCATTAGTCCAGAGTGAGGCTCAGTGGACATTTAGCATATCAGTTAAAGGAGGAAAGGGCTCCAATCAAGTTTACAGTAAGTTTTCTAAAAAAAGAGACAAGCACAGCAAGCCAGGTGAAAGGTCACCTGTCACTCCTGAAGGTTTCTGCTTACACTGCGTGGATCCCAGAGTGGGACTTTCATCTGCCAAGGAGAAGGTTTTCAATCTTGTCCTTGGAAACAGTCTGGAGCAATTTCTAATGCACATTCTGAGAACTTTTAACTAAGGACTCTCTTAGGACACCATAAGCCAAAGAAAGTGTATTTGGTTGTATTGGTCATAACTCCTGTTCACCTTCCAGCCAGTCCTGGGTCTGCTGTTCTGTGGGTCCCAGGTCACTATGAAAGGAGCGTATTCCAGCCAAGCTCCTTAAGCCAGGCCCTTAAAGTTGAAGTTCAAGTCTACCCTCTTTGAGCTCAAGAAAGTTAATACCATGTGGGTTTTTTTTTTTAACATAAAGTGGAAATTTTTAAAGGAGAGAATAGTCCCCATTTATCAATCTATTCTTTGAATGATTTAGTCATTTTAGCTTTAAAAAAAATCACCTTTTATCCTATTATTACGTTATTCTGTTACTGAACAGAAGGATAAAATGAGTGCTCCAAATATACTTGAGTTTGTTTGTTAAATATGTTAAAAAAATAATCACTGAGTCTCAGGGCCCCACATTTTGG